ATATCTTCTGGATTTGGAGAGAGAAGATCTCAAAAGTTTTAGGCCTTAAATTCTATAGGGGAAGTTATCTTAAGAAGTTATGAGAAGTTGTCAAGAATGAATGTCTGAAAACACAAAGAGGATATTTAATGAGGAAGAGAGAGAGAGAAGAGAGAAGAGAGAGAGGAAGAGAGAGAGAGAAAGAGAGAGAGAGAGAGAGGCAGAGAGAGAGACTGGTGTGGGCAAATAGGAAACTCATCAATCAATTTAGAATTTAAATGAAATGGACAAAGTTGTAACCAACGGAAGATGAATACAAGTGCATGGTATGGCCCTCTAAGAATACTGGCAGGAGTAATAAATTTCAAAATTAGGTGAAATTTGTCAAGAATTAGAAAAGATTTTAGAAGTTAAGTTAAGAAGAAAAGAAGCATGAAAGAAAAGATTGAATCAGTGTTCAGATGGAGGGGATGATAATAATGGAGAAAACATCAGGTCACAAATGTAGAGCTAGAAGACAGAGGTCATTCTTATTTAACAGATGGGAAGCTAAGGCCCAGAGTGGCTAAGGGACTTGCTCAAAGTCATATAGCAAGATGGCAGCATAAGAGGGAGTCAAACCCAGGATTTCTGACTCCAAATCAAGTGTTCTTTACACTTGCCCCCCATGTAGGACTAGAATATAGTCAGGCAGGGGATAGCACACCTTGCTTGGGTGCTCCCAGAAGGAGAAGGTCATTTAGGGTCTTTGGCAAGGACATTTGGGAATTATGGACTGAAGGTAGTTCGCTTTTCAAATTTTTGCTTGGGGTTGAAGGTTGTTAGCTCAGATTCTTGGACCTTGGCCTTGGCCATAGGGGATCATTCCTCTTAAAATTTGCACTGATTGTGGCCCAGACAATGGCAAAAAAGCTCAGAATTTTCTTACCTTTAAGGTAGGTCTCCCAATCACTTTGTCTTTATGTATCCTAAACAATGAGGGAACTTACCTCTCCTTCCTGTAGAATCCAAGGATTCATTTCAATTCAATCAACAAGTATTATTAAGCACACTGTATGCCAGGCATAGTGCCAGGGAATGCCTACACAAACAAAAATGAAATGATCACTGCTCTCAACTACCTTACATTTTACTGGGGTGGGGGGGGATCAGTATGCATATAGACAAGTATATATAAAATATATGCTAAATTAGAAAAGATCAGTTGAGGCTAGGGAGAGTACTAATAATTATGATGAATCAGGGAAACTTTGCATTGGAGGTTGCATTACAGCCTTGAATGCCCTGTCTAGGGAACATGAGGTAGTCCAGTTTGGTTGGGACACAGAGTAATGGGAAATGAGCCTAGAAAGATGGGTTGGAGCAAGATTTTCAAATAAATAGTAACCAGAAGAGTTCGTATTTTTATCCTAGAGACAATAGTGAGCTTCTTAATCAGTACATGGCAAGGTCAGTCTTGTGTTTTAGGAATGAATATCCATTTGGAAGCTATGTAGAAGATGGATTGGAGAGTGGAGGAATGAGGCAGGGAGACAATGGTAGCTAGGTGATGAAGTGGCTAGGGCACTTGGTCTGAAGTCAGGAAGATCTGAGTTCAGATCTGGCCTCAGATACTTACTGGCTGTGTGACCATGAGCAAGTCACTTACTTACCTTTTGTTTGCCTCAGTTTCCTCATCTTCCCACATTAGTCTAGGAGAAAAGTGATAAGCTCCTGAGCTACAGGAGTAAACCATGTGAGTAGAGAATGGGACAGATTCTACAGTTATGGACTTGGCACATTTATTAGGTATAGGGGAAGGTGAAGGAGAATGAAGGGTCAAGAATGATGCCCAAGTTATAAACTTGGGTGATTGGATGAATGGTGTGCCCTTGTTAGGAACAGGGGAGTTAAGAAGAAGGATATGTTTTCTTCCTGGACCTTCCTGGAGAGGATTTATGGGAGCACAGGGACAAGAGTCATGCAGGACTACAAGTCAAAGATGGGTCATGATCTATACCACTGAAGGGAGTGTTCGCCTCAAGAAGATCACAGAAGATGACATACAAATATGGAAAAAAAAATGGGGTAATCTGGCTTATCCAGATAGGCTGTGTCTTATTTTAATCTCTGTATCCAAGTACCTTGCACATAGTAGGCTCTTTATAAATGTATGGAGTTGAATTAGAGATCCTTTAGTCCAACCTCTTTATTTAATATATGAGGAAATTGAGACCCAGAGGGCTCAAAATCTTTGACCAAGATTTTCTCAGTTAATAAGTGGCAGAACAATTCCCAACATTAGAACTAAGTTCTCTTGAGTACTATTTTCACTACACTGTGATGCTGATCTAGCTACTGACCACCACGGTAGTACAAGGACATGGAATCAGGAAGATTTGAGTTCAGACACTTATTAGCTGCGTGAAGCTTTTAATCAATCAGCTGGTCATGGGCCCAGACGGATTCCCAAGTCACTTGACCTTCTTGGGTTTCAGTGTACTCCTTTATAAAGTGAGATGGTTGGACATAGGGACCTCTAAGGGCACTCCCAGCTCTAAATCTCCATCCTGTCAGTGGTCATTGATGCTCACGTGCAGAAGCAGAGAGGCATATGGCACTATGAGTATTGGCACTGATAACAATAGAGTCCACCCCCCCCCCCCCAGGCTTGTTGTGAGGATCGAATGAGATCATGTCTGTAAAGTGCTTTGCAAACCTTAAAACACTATATAAATACTAGCTATTATTATTTATGTATTTCTTTATTATTATCTCAAGACCTCAGGAACTGTGAATAAGAAATGGAATAAAAGATATCATTACAGAAATACATGACCAAAAAAGGAGGGTCAGTCACACAACAAGGGGGAGGAAGGGGAATAAGCATTTATTAAGCGCCTGCTGTGTTCCAGGCATTGTGCTAAGTGCTTTACAAATATAATCTCATTTGATCTTCACAACAAGCCCCTGAGACTGAGAAAACTGAGGCAAAGGTTAAATGGATTTAGGGCTGGTAGGGACCTTAGAAATGAAAAAAATCCAACTCTCTCATTTTATCACTGAGGAAACCACAACCGGGAAGTTATTTGCCTGAGGTCACACAGATAGCAAGCACCAGAATTAGAATTCAAATTCAGGTCTTCCCAAATTCGGGCTCATTTCCCACACCAGCTGCTTGTTCTTAAGTCATGCAGTTAGAGACAGCTAGGTGTCCCAGAAGTTAGAGTGCTAGATCAAGAGTCAGGAGGACATGAGTTCAATTCCAGCTTCAGATGCTTAGGAGCTGTGTGACCCTAGACAAGTCACTTAACTTCGTTTGCCTCAGTTTCCTCAATTGTAAAGTGGATATACTAATAATAATCTAACATCCAGGGGTTTTTTGTGAGGATCAAATGATATGCATTTGTAAAGCACTCAGCACAGTACTCGACACATTGTAAACATTTAAAAAACATAACCGTCCAGGAGGACCTGAGTTCAAATCCGGGCCTCAAACCGAACACTTGACACTTACTAGCTGTGTGACCCTGGGCAAGTCACTTAACCCCAATTGCCTAAAAATTAAAAAAAATTTAAAAAATCATATCATTCTTTTCTGTAATGGGAAGCATATTGGAGCTGGTGTCAGATGACCATTGTGGCCTTTTACTTATTGTGTAACTCTGGACAACACGTGTGAGCCTCAGTTTCTACTTCTGAAAAATAAGGATATTAATATTTGCATTACCTACTTTGCAAGCTTGTCATAAGTCAAATATTTCATAAAGTTTAGAGTGCTAGGTAAAATGAGATTATTATTTTAGGCATAATCCTGAAGCACTGCAAGGTCTTTGCTTTCTGAATCCTCAGAGACCATCTATAGTCAGCTTAGTTTTGTTCTTTTATGCTCTTATTATATTTTAATTCTTTGAAAGCTGATGATCTGTGTGTTCTATAAATGGTAACCTTATCATTAACCAAAGATCTGGCTATTCTTGGATTAACTAGAACACTCTGAGGAAGCCAGATAGCAGAGAGCCTTTCCTAATCCCCAATCGGTATTTTCCATGTGGAGAAGGCTGTGCTAGGTGGTCACATTAAGAAGGAGAGCGTAGCTTTGGCTGAAAAGGAATCTAAGGGCCTCCTAGAATGCCTGGCACCCATAGGTACTGGCAGTGACTGAGAGATCTTAAGATGTCTTGATGGCCTTGAAAAGATAAATGATCCACACTTTCACAGAAGATTAGAAACTTGGCACCATGCCAGGTTATAAACAGCCTGTATGAACCAGATGAAATGAGAGCTGTCTTCTCCTGGTGTCTTTTCCCAACCTTTATGAGAAAAAATCTTTGACTTAAACTCCATGTTGTCCACTGTGGATTTGAGCCAAATTATGAGACTGAAAATGGCTTAGCAATAATAGCAAAATGAGATAGAACAACTCTTTTTGTATTGTTCTGCCACCTTACCAATGTACAGAGCAAAGGTCAACTCCTAGTTCTGGGGGACCAAGGAAGCCCAGTGAATAAGATCCACAGGTCATCCCCAAATCTCACTACAAATCATTATATTGAATAAATCTTTTGCTCAACCTTTTGCCAGAGCCCATGGGCCAACTACTGAATGTCAACTCCTTTCCTTTCTTTTCCCCTACATAGCCTCCAGTGAAAGTCCTACCCCGAGATGAAGGGACCAAAGACTGCCAGAGGGATAAGAGATTTGGGGAAAACAACTCCTGGATAACCAAAGATAGCTCCCACATGAGCACTGTACACCCTCCCCATGTTGGGCCATGCTCCTAAATGCTGCCTCTTGGTCAGGTGGCTCTTTCAGTGACCCAACTGATACTGTAGAGAAAGATGAGGACTGAAACAGATGTAAGATCAAGGCACCACTAGATATTAATGTATTCTACTCACATGCTCCCACCTCAGTCTCCCCTGAGTAAATACACACACACACACACACACACACACACACACATACGCCTAAACACAGACACACATACACGTGTCCATATGCTCATTCAGGCAATTTTTGCAGCCACGTTCTCTGCTTACCTCTAGGACAATTTCTTTCATTTGGAACTGCTTTTGGGAAACTTTATCCGAAGACACCGGCTCATGGTAGAAGAGGCAGAGCAGGTCATATTTCTTCAGAATCTGCTTGTAGTTCTTTTCATTGAGGTTTACTACCCGGTCCTTTCCATCATAAGTGGGGAAGTTCAGTCCCTCTTCTGCCCTGCAAAAAGGCAGCAGGTAAAAACCCACTAGTAAAAGAGAAGCTACCTTCATTGAGGATGACCCTCTCTGCCTGTCCTTCCCTAGAAACAATCCAGTGCAGTAAAGAACACAAGGGCTGCTTGGGTCGTGTTAGAGCCAAGGGCCGAGACCAGTTTACATAGAATTTGCCTTTCTTTTGCCCTTCTGTTGTTTGATCCAAACTCTTCCAGCCCTGTTAACTTTGCAGTTATGGGACTCAGGACAAAGAGCCCCAGACTCTCTCACACACACGTGTGTGTGTACAAAGAGAGACAGGCAGGGGAGGCTGTCAAGCCAAACCCCAGATACCTTACATAGCTTGGCCCAACTCCTGTGTTGTGAGGAACTCCATTTTTAGGATGCAGTTGTTTCAGGCTAAAAATAAACCATGCAATGAATAAAAAGGACAGATATGACACTATTGAGGGATTCGCTGACGGAGGTGGGGGGGGGAAGAAAAGAGTGCACAAATGAGTGAGACGGCTATAAAGGACGCAGAAAAAAAGTGAGGAGAAAAGAGATAAGGTGCAAGGGCTTCAGTTAGCTAATGGAAGTTGTGAAAAAGGATCCCAATATACACCACAGGTATGGAATCTTTGGGTTGGACAGGATCTTGAAAGGTAATTCAGTCATTTCTTAGAATTATAGAATTTAGAGTTGGAAGGGACCTTAGATCTCATCTAGTTCTACCTTTTCATTTTACAAATGAAGAAACCCAGGCCCCCGCAGGTTCAATGATTTGCCTAAGACCACACCAGCAGTAGGTATGGGGTAGGGAAAGGAATCCACTTTCACACACTCCATGGTCAGCACTCTTGCACAAGTCTGCTAATTTTCACCTTCAAGCAGCTCATGCACAGGCCATCATTCCAGCTACCATTGGTGTATTTTGTGCAATGATGGGATAAAAGTGGAAAGAATTCTTTTTCAATGTTTTACTGATGCTTTATTATTTTTTTAAACATTGACATCAAATCCCATTAACTCTCTCGCCCCAGTGGAATGTTCCTTTCTTTTTTTTAAACAAAGGAGTAGAGTTGGGAAAATCCAGCTGCCAAATGGAATATGTTAGGCAACATATGCCTTATTATAGAATCATGGTGCCCCCACTCCACTACTGAAAGAAGGAATGCATGTTTGGACATCAGTCATCGGGAGTCACAATGAGTCATTATATTGATCTGAATATTGATGTCCCATTAGAATTGTTTTCCTTCACATTATTATAGTCGTTGTATATACTTTCTCTTGGAGTTTTACGGGTTTTGCTTTGTAGCAATTCAAACGAGTTGCTCTTCATCTCTCAGTCTTCATTTCATACGAGATAATAATTTTCCATTATTTTCATATACCATGCCACAATTTGTTCAGCCATTCCGAAACCTATGGCTACCTACTTTGTTTCCAGTTTGTTGTTTGTGCTTGTTTATTTTGCTAATCCTCCAAAGTATTACTGTCTTGGTATATATATGGGACTCTTCTCTCCATCTTTGACCTACTTAGGGTATATGACCAGTAACACAGTTCCAAATTACATTCCAGGTTGGACCAGTTCACAATTATTCTTAGTATTCTGGGAAATGTAAGCTTGCAATGTACCCTGAGTTCTTCATCTGTAGATTTATTGCTTCCCACTGTATTCCTTATATATTATATTATATATATTATTTATTGTAGTATCATGTATTATATTATATTTCTCTTATCCTTAAATACTTTGGCCACATAATGAGAAGATTGACTTCATTGGAAAAGACCCTGATGTTTGGAAAGATTGAAGGCAAAAGGAAAAGGGGACCGCAGAGAATGAGATGGATACATAGTGTCGTGGAAACAAAGCACATGAGCTTGGACAGACTTTGAGAGATAGTGGTGGAGAGAAGAGCATGGAGTGCTATGGTCAATGGGGTCACAAAGAGTCGGACATGATTGAACAACTGAATGACAACCATATACCCACTGCCATCCAGCCTGGGCTTTGCTCGGCCACCAGACGTAGACACTATTCCACCTCATGAGGAGGGGGGAGGATATTCCTCTTCTGAGATGTGGAATGATGAAAATAGGGGACGTCCTTTCTTTCCCTCACACCCCTATATATGTGTATATTGGCTCACATGCATGGGGGCTCTGTCTGCAATCTTCTTCTGCTATCCTGGGGACATTCAACCATCCAATACTACATGTGACGCCACACTGACTTAACAAATAAAACAACAGCAGCAACACCACAAAACGAGATTCCACAGAATCTGCCAGAAACCCAGGGTAGTGTCTCACTCCTCTTATTGCCAGGAAATCCATACTTCTATCCCACTTCTGCCACTGACCTTGAGCAAAGCGTGTGAGGTCTGTCTCTCTGCCTTAATTTCCTTATGTGTAAAATGGGGGAGAATGACTAGACTACCTCTAAAGTCTATGATCTTATGAGTCTAATTCTGTCATTTTAGCCCATTTCCTGTTTTTCTCTTGTTCTCAGAGATAATAAACTCTTGTCATCTGGAGAGTAACATTTCATATGTGTGTGTGTGTGTGTGTGTGTGTGTACACATATACATACATATACATGAAAAGTTATATTTTTACTGATATATAAATATGTGCATGTATATATACATATATATACATACACACACACACACACACACGCATACAAGCATGCACACATATTTATACTGGTCCTGTGATTACATTGGCTTAGGGAACTCAAGACGAGTACATTTCCTCTGCCAATGCAGGTTTGCAGTTATATCACAACTAAGAGTTGGAGAGATTTCCTTGGCGCACTGAGAGTCACCCAAGATCACACAGCCAGTGCATGGCTGAGTCAAGACTTAAACCCAGGTCTTCCTGGTTTGTTCCCTCATTAAGTCTCTTTCTGGGTTCACAAAGCAGTCTAAGATATGAAGAAGCTCTGAGACAGTACTTAAATTTCAGAAATTCTCTCTGATTGGTTCATCAGCCCCCACTCCAGCCTGTTTTGGGGAAAATCTGCTCCTCCTTTCAGTTAGCTCCCCATATTTCAGTCTCTAACCGTGTGCCTATTAGGCTTGGATTAAAATCATGGTAAATGGCTATATTTTCATAGCAACTGCAAATAGCGTAAAAACACAGACAAGAATTAAGGTACAGTATATTGGACTATGATGTGGAGCTTTAGGGGGATGTTGAATTTCTTTCCTTCCTCCTCTTCTTCCTCATCCCTTCTTTCCCCATCTTGCTCAGAAGGAGAACTAGGACGAAAGTGGTCCAACAGGTTAGTGTTGAACAAGGAGACAAAGGAGACTGTGGACCAGATGGGAGTAGTCTCACCAACCCTGGTCTTCTGGTCTATCATTTTCTATTTTCCACTTCAGTCCACTTTGGATGCCAATTTCATCTCATCTTGAGATTAGCACTTTGCTTCTGTTCCTGGTCTGATCTGGCCTGCATTCTCTCCTGTTTTCAAATGCAAGTGAGCTAGGCCCTGACCCCTTTATCTGCCACTTCAGCAGGAGGACTCAAATTTTTGGCTTCTCTCCATTTTGACCATATGACTTCTCCCCAGAAGGAAGGTTTTTCCAAGACCACCCAAAACTAGAAGGATCCAAGCCTTTCTTGTATGGTGTGTGGTCTCCCCTATCTTGCCAGCAGTGTCTCTGGGGAAAGACACACACACACACACACACACACACACACACACAATGCTTCTTCATTGATTGATGTTAGTTGCTCACATACATAAAGAAACTATTGGTCATGTTATTTTTAATAGATTCATTCTCTAAGTTTTCCAGTTATTGTTGTTCAGTCATTTTTCAGTCACGTCCGACTCTCCATGATCCCGTTTGAGGTTTTCTTGGCAAAGATGCTGGACTGATTTACCATTTCCTACTCCAACTCATTTTTACAGATGAGGGAACTAAGACAAACAGGGTTAAGTGACTTGCCCAGTGTCTGAGGCCAGATTTGAACTCACAAAAATGAATTTTCCTGCCTTAAGTTCTGGTGCTCTATCCACTGTACCACCTAGCTACAGAGGTAGAGATGTAACTAAGGCTGTTGCTTAGCATTAAGAATGTTCCTAAGAACATTCAGAAGAGATTAAAGAATGAAGCAGTTTGGGTGTCACTGCTTTGAGGTCAGGTTTCCAAAACTGTCCTGAATTACCTCATCAGGTGACCTTGATTTGGAACATGCTCCACTTAACAGACTTTCTAAGACATGAACACTGTTCTAATACACAGGAGAGCTGGAAATAGAGTGGGAATGAAGAATTCTTTCTTTCACCAGAGGCAAGAAAACAGGGCAGGGGGCAGGTAGAAAATAGTCTGACCATACATAGATGGAGTCATCTTGGCACATGATGAGGCCTACTTCCCCCTAAAAGTCTCGACCACACTCCTATGGGGATTCAGGAAGGGGGCACCATGGCTATGGAATGGTGGGGATGACTACCTAAGTCCCACGTAGCTGTGCAGTCCAGGACTGAGGGGTTCAGAGAATTGTAGTCTCTAACCCCAACTTTCCCCCTATCCCGTATACTAACAGTGCCCTAGGACAAAGCCCCAGCTGCCCTGCTCTAGTTAGGGCTTTAAGTAAACCTGAGTCAGAATTTCACTTTTTTTTTTTTTTTTTACCAGCAAATGGGCTATATGAACCCCAGACAAATTAGGAAAAGCACCAGGAGAATATTTTTTTTAAGATTTTATCTCAGAACTTAAACTGCAACTGACTAATAACAGTGAACCACAAAATGTCCTTATTTTGGAGAAGTCCTGAGTAGCAACTCTCTTTCTAGATTCCAGTTCCATTTGGGGTCTCAAAGATTAGAATTTTTATCAGCTTACCTAATCATGCATGACTTTTAATGTTCCCATAATGAAAAAAAATAGCAGCACAGACTTTTTTTTATATTTTCTGTTTCTTACATCATCATGATATTTCATGTGTCCTCTCCCAAGAGCCATCTCATATGATAAATAGTATTTTTTTTTAGAGAGAAAAATCAGCATAAGGGATCGATACTTTGAGAAAGTCTGAAAATATGAGCAATGGATAATCCCCTGTGAACTTCCCAACTCCATGAAGGAGTAGGTTGGGAGTGTCTTCTCATGTCTCTTAATTTGAGTCCTTCTTGAGCTTAATAATTTTGTTACATTTACTTTTAATGTTTTTGGTGTGTCATTGTTATTTCCATTTCCATTGTTGTAGTTATTGTGTATATTGTTTTCTTGGCTTTGCTCATTTCACTTCGCCTGAGTTCACAGAGATCTTTGCATGCTTCTCTGTATTCATCATATTTGTCATTGCTTACAGCACAGTAATATTCTATTATATTCATGCACCACAATTTGTTTATCCAGCCCCCAATTGGTGAGCATCTACTTTGTTTCCAATTCTTAACTATTACAAAAAGTGCTTCTGTAAATATTTTGGTGTATATGGGGATTTTTTTTTAATCCATGGCTTCTTTGAGGTAAACCCAGTAATGTAGTCTCTGATTCAAAGGGTATGAATATTTTAGTCACTTTATTTGCATAATTCCAAATTGTTTTTCAAAATGGTTGTACCATTTCATAGCTCCACCAACAATGTATTGGTGTGCCTTTGTTCCCACACTCCTTCCAACATTGACTGTTGCCATTGTTTGCCATTTTTGTCAATTTGCAGGGTACAAGGTGAAGCCTCAGGGTTGTTTTGATTTGTATTTCTCTTATTATTAGTGATTTGGAGCATTTTTTTCATGTGGTGGTGAATACTCAGTTGCTTTGAGAACTATTTGTTTATATCCTTTGACCATTTATCTATTGGGGAATGGATATATGTGTGTGTATAAATGTGTGTGTATATGTATACATGTATATAAATATACAACACACACACATATATACATATACACACATATATACACATGTATATATATATATATACATATGTGTGTATATATATAAGAGAAAAAGAAAGAAAAGAGGCAGTTTATGTATCTCAGATACCAAATCCTTATCAGAAATTTGATACAAAGATTTTTTCAGATTTAACCACTTCTCTTCTTATCCAAGATGCTTTAATGTTGTCTATTCAACTTTTCAGTTTCAACTAATTAAACTTATCTATTTTATCTTTTGTAATTACCTCTACCTCTTTTTTAGTTAAGAATATATCTCCTCATAGCTATGAGAAGTATATGATCTGTTTCTCTTCTAATTAGTTTGTAGTATGACCTTTTATGTTAAATTCACGTATCCATTTCAAATGTATTATGGATCATGGTATGAGGGGTTGGGCTCTGCTTGATTTCTGCTAGACCACTTTCCAGTTTTCCCAGCAGTTTTTATCAAAGGGGGAGTTTTTCTGTAGGCCACTTAAGTTTTCCACTTTATCAAACACCAGGTTATTGAGTTCTATTGTTTCTGAACTTCCCTTGTCTAATCTGCTCCAATGATCTATCTCTGTTCTTTAATCAATACCAGGTGGTTTTGATGACTGCTGCTTTATATTATAATTTA